CATGGGCATGTAATCTTTGTACTTGCACAGGGTCCAATGCTTACAAGGGCCTATGCTCAGTTTAATGCTCTGCTGTTGAGGTCTTGAAATCCTTAATAATTTTTGAACAAGGGATCCCACATTTTGATTTTGTACTAGGCCCTATGAACTATGTAGGTGGTCCTGCAATAACATGGAGAAGTCATTAACTCTAAAAATGGTTGACGTTAACAGCATCAGTAGAATAAAAAATGTGTTTGTATACATTCATGTTTTAAGGTAGAATTCCTTCATGGGATCTGTTAAAGATATTTTGAGTTTTCTCAAATCTTTCAGATGATGTAATAAAGGGCAACTACCAACAGAGGGCCTGATAGAAAGTCAAATTTCCTTTCTTATTATCTATCTGAAACCCAAAGGGAGATGTGTCACTGCTGTAAATTTGAGCAGACAATGAATTACAGTAGAAATACTGGTCAATTATTTTTCAAAGGAAGAAGAAACTGAGATACTGATCATTGAACAAACAGAATTCTGGATGAAATGTAACATCTTCCTCCCTCTTCTTCATCATTTAAGATAAGTAAGTTTCATTGTTCTGCGTGATTCTTATTCTCTCTCCCGTTTCCCCAGCAGATTCTTTGTTCTGCCCACTTGGACAATCTTATCCCTTTCCTGTTTAGATATAAAACAAAATTTCTAACCAGGAAATATTTTAAAAAGCGGAGAAGATCCTCAAGTATTGAATCTGACTGTGGCGGGCTGGCCCAGGACAGAGCCATTTCAGCTCTACGTATGTCAGAAAAAGCTATTTAGAATCAGGAATTCTTGAAACTTACTCCTGGAAATTTAAAGAGTAGATTAAAAAGTTACTCAAATGCATTTGCTAAGTGTATTTGCCCCATGTAATGAATCTGATAGAGAAAATATAAACTTTGTCTCAAAGGGGTCACTGGATTTTTAAATTACAATAGCCTTACAAATTTGAAAAGCTTCAAATTTGGCAAACAGCAACCCTGGGGTAAAATGCAACAAGTTATCCATAGTTAGGATCTGGGACTTGCATAGTGGCAGTCTCCTTGCACGTTATTATTTGGGGAACTAGGCTATCTAAAAACATCAAGTCTGCCTTTCCCTTCCGAGGACAAATTTCTACAGAGAAGTGTCTGTGGGAGAGGTACCTGACTTTTCTGTTTAGGATGTACAATCCGGCTCCATTTTCTAATTACTTCAAGGCAGAAGTTCTGAAAATACAGTTTCTGAGCTGCCAGTATCATCACTATCAACTGAGTCTTGTTAGAAATACAAATTATCAGGCCTCAGCCCAAGGTATCCTGAAAAAGAAATTCTGGAGAAAGGTCCAGCAATGCCTTCTAGGTGATTCTGATGCTCACTAAAGTTAGAGATCACTGCCTTAAGGCAACTGAACATGAGGCTTTTAGCATTTCCTAAAAATGAGGATCTTTTGTGACTTCAATTTACAAACCAGTGGTCAAATACAAGAACACCAAAGTATAGAAACTGGTTTTAGGCATCATGAATACTGAATAATGAATGGTTCACTATGAAGCAGATTAAAGAGGAGAAAAAAAACCCCAAAAACCTGAAGACATGCATTATAAAATAAGGGACATTCAAAAAACTTTATTTTATAATAATATGATTTCATCAATAATAAGATAACATGATTTTTATTTGTTATTAATATTTTAAATAAAAATTTGGATATTAATGTAGAAAGATTCCCATTAATAGGGGGCCAATAAGTGATGATTTTTATTTTGCATAACTGTTTCTATTGCTGAAGGGTGCCATCTTATTTTGAATACAGAAACAATGCATTGCTTTAAAATCAGGATTAAAAAACACATTATAATAAAGACATCAATTGGAAACAACAAACATGTATTAGGTAACCAGCAACTGCATTGAAATAGATACACCACTCACATATTCCATTATGTAAATGAATTCAAAGATATTTCACAACTGATCAGCTGGAAGGGACATAATGATTTATAATTCAAATAACGGAGCACTGAAATCAAATTGAGCTAATATATATTTCTAAATATGCAAACCTGAAATAATTGTTAACATATATAAATCAATGTATCCATGTTGAACTCATTCATATCCCTTGGTTTAAAATGTTACTGCTTTTAAACTTTTATTTAACAAGTTTTCTGAAAATATGATTTTTTATTAACTTTAGAAGAAGCACTTAGAAGAAATAAACAGCTTGTAAAATAAAAGGTTATGATTTTAGGATTAAAGAATACATAATAGATATACTATGATAGGAAAAGAATCTTAAAAACAGATAACAAATAAATTAGGCATTATGCAAATTATACTAAAAAGAATACAAATCAAATTCATTTCATATTAAGTTTCAATTTCAACCTAAAAAAAGGGTAAATCTAAACAACAGATACGTACTACAGAATAACATAGGCTTCTTTCCATATAATGTGCTCTCAAGGTAATTCACTGTGAAAAGGCCAGAGTTTGCAATATTAGGAAGTACTTATAAACCACTTTATATGTTAGAAATAAAGAGTATTTCAGCATTATTATAAAAAAAAATAAAGGTTGAGCTTTTTTTTTTTTTAATAAGAAAAAATACATATCTTTAAAAGCCAGAATGACCACTGGAATTGGGTTGTACATCACTTTCCAGTAAAAAGGAAAAACAGCCTGGACAGGTGTAATTTATCATTTTTCTGATTTAATATCAAAGAAATATATTAAAATAATAAAAAGAATCCTGAAATCCTCAAAATTTGTAGTGATAAATAGCCCTCCCTGTCTTTATTGCATTATACCTGCTAACAGAAATATTGCATGGTGGATTTTGCCAGACAAGGACGATTATTTTCCAATAAAAAGTTGCATATTAAATTCCAGCACAAAAGTGGGTGTCTAATACTTTGAAAATCTTTTATGGTTTGCCAAGGAACACAATTTTAAACTTAACTAATACAAACACATTCCTGGAGTGAACCTATATTAAAGGTTTCCATCCAACCCCACCCATTTTCAGAATGTTGTTCTTATATTAAAATATCAGCTAATCTTAGTAGTTAACTAAACCAACACTTATTTTTTACAACTCCTATACAGTTGATAGCTGACATATAAAAGACAATCTACGTGCTACTCTCTCATTGGTAGAAACATGACAATAGTATCAAGTATAATAAGAAAAGATGATTTCTGGTTTTAGATTTTAAAAAATTTGTTATACAGAACAATCTAAGTATTTAATTTGTAATGCGAAATCTTACTGTAATGTACTTAAGATGTTGATTTGAGAGGGCCGATAATCAAAGAAGTGGTCAAAAAATTTACAATTTTCTTTTTATTACTTCTTTGTGCCTCTCAACTAATGAAAATGATGTTCTTTTCGATTGAAAAATATTGAAAATATATTTACTCTTAGGACTCAGTTTTCATAAAGTGATATTTTTAGAACATTCTGACCTTCTTAAAATTAACACATTTTACTTCAGAACAAGAACTTCCTAACAACTAGGAAAAATCGTGGACTAAAACACATTTGTTTGCATACCTTCTTATGTAACCATTTATTAACCTGGGGGGGTATAAACATAACTTTAACTAGTTAAGGAATCTATATATCCATATAAATTCAATTGTGACTCTGAATAAGTGCTTCATAGCATATAAACCTTTCAGAAGAATGCATTTACAGAGAAGGCTAAATGAAAGGCACTACATTAAAAAAAAAAAAAAAACCTGCAAAAATTATAAAGAAGGAAAATACCTGGCCAATAGAATGCACTTGTTAGGCTGCTTATACATGATATCAGATATATAGTTAAAAAGGATATCCAACAGAAAGATCATTTAGGAACTGAAGAGTCCTTGAAATTACAGGCTCACATCTTCCCCAGTATTTAAGGTTTGTAACACTAAATATGAACAACAAAAATGAAAAAAGGTTTTAATCATAAGATATTTGCTTGTGTAGGAATAACCATGGAAATTATGCATATACTCATGTAACTTAAGTTAGATGACCGAAATCACAAATATCTCACCAAGTGAAAAGCTGTTTCAAATACCAGTGGAATATTTTCTATTCTATTCTTTTTATAGCACATTCAAAATTATATATAATCAATCTACAATGAACATTAGTCTCCAAATGGTGTTCAATTCCACAAATTTTGTTCTGTAAATTAAAAAGTTGCCTAAGTGTTTCCCAGAAGAAACATTAAGTTTGTATTAAAAACAAACATATTAGGGAGTAAAAGCAGGAGCTACAAAGGGAGTCAAATAGAGGCTCAAAGTTACTGTCAAGGAATGAACCATCAAACTCCAAGACTCACTTCTTATGAAGTGCCTCTGAGACTCACTTCTTACGGTCATGATTGTTTACCTAGCTTTGTTCTCTGCAGCAAGACAGTAACATCTATCTGTAAAAGTAGAATGCAAAGAGGAGGCATGCAGGGTTAGCCTAAGCGTACAAAGTTATACCTGTGAGTACAAACTAGTTAATTCTGCTGACATTATAAGGCTCACTGAAGAACAGTCTTCCACGAATGTTTCTGATAGCCATAGGTTCCTGCTGAAACCAATGAATGCCCTGTCTTAAGGCAATCAGACCTCTCTCGATTTCTAATTTGCAATAGCTCTTCAGTTAGGCTTTAAAATTAAATTAAAAAAAAAAAAAAGCTGTCAAATCGACCTAAGGAGTCAAGTGTTAGTTGATGTTGTATAGATACCCTGAAAAATCAGAATGTTGTCTGGATGACATTTGAGTTTTAAATATGTGAAATTAACTTTCAGTTAAGAATAATGTTAATATTCCAAGAATTAAAGCGTAATTTTAAAATCCTTTATTTAAAAACAATTCAGTAACTGTGAAGAGATTTAAGCACAAAAAAGAGAACAGGAATCAACTCAACGACAAATAACAACAGCAAAGAGATCTATTAAATTTAAAACAACAACAACAAAAGAAAAATCAAAGAACCAAACTAGGAACTCACATTTTCGTCATGAATGTTTCTAGAACGTGGTTGTCATCTGTTATTCCTAAGACTTCTGACATACGGGCGTACACCTACATGAAAACATTTTACCGTTAAAAGCTTTAACATTAACATATTTTCAGAAGACTATTCAAACTGAACAAATATAAGATCTAGTGCACTGTTGCATCCATGCTGAAGTAGGGAGTGGGTGAGGATAGCAAATGAAGAACTAAAAATTTTTTTTTTTATAATTTTAAAATTTACTAACACTTCCTTCAGGAAGTACCTCTCCTGTTTTGAAATAAACACACACACACGTATATTTTACTCCCACCATACAATAATTTCTTTTTTCTCAAAACGGTAAATCATACCTTTCTCAAAGATGGGGACAGGCATGCAAAGGACTGGAAAGTGGAGTGCCTCAATAAATGGCTCTAACATTATAAAATCGCTATCTATTCCAGATTTCAGCAAAATACCAACTAACTCAGGATTATGTACGGAAGTTATAAAAATAAAGATTTCAAAAATCAAAGGTAAAGAATTTATAGAAATTCTTCCTAAATACTCCCTATTTAAGCTCCCCCAAATAGAGGTAGGTCTTACTTTCCATGCTGAAATCCCAAGCTTAGGGACTCTCTGCTGAAAACATCAGGGGCTGGGAATCCACTGAGCTATCAATTAGGGAGTGTTGGTTGCTCAGTTTGGGGTGCAACATTTCAGTCCCAACCCCAGCTACAATGAGCTTATAAACACATATTTCACTCCAAGTAGAATGCCACCGGCAGCCAATGGAATGTCCCTAGTAGCCTGGCAAAGCTGAGAGATGGGTTGACACCTCCATACTCCCTGATGCTCTGGTGTGATTCCAGGCCATCCCTGCCAGACACCAGCTGTAAGGGTGACTTCTCTTCTGTGATCTGATGCCCTGTGGTTGTGTTCTCTCAGTTTCTCCTGATCTGTCCCTTTCTGATGGTATAGCAACTTAGCTTCCATCTCCTATACCTTCTGTTTTTGGTATGTAAACACCAGCCTGATATATTGCCATAGGTCATGAAGGTAAGATAAAAATTACAGGGCATCACAAATCACCCAGAGTTATAGGGTTATACAAGGGAGGAAAGCTGTTCATTGCAGAAATCTCATATGGATTTCAAACACCATTCAAACCAGAAGCTTGTGTTCCAGAGTTCCAATCTAAGTCCTATGTCCAGAAGGCTTCTCGGGCTGTTAGGGTGAATTTAAGGGAGGAAGAGAAGTGGGGGGAGAAGGCGAGATGAGAGGAGAGAAGGGGCAGGAGGCTGGGGAGGAGAGGCTGTGGGAGAGACACAGAAAAGGAGATTGGGATTCAAATTACTGTTGTCTCTTCTGCTAACTTCTGAGCCCTACAGAAAGGCATTTGAATGACTACACCTGTGACTTTGCTTATAGACTGAAGTTGTCACTTGTAAGATGTTTGGGGGGAGGAGGGAGTTGGGGAGAGAGAACTTAGGGAAGTCAGTTATCAGTTCTCCATGATCAGAAATCCTGAAGCACTTAGAGGGCTCAAGGAAGAATGGTATGTAGAAAGGGAAGTTGCTCTATCTTATCATGATCCCAAACTCTCTCATGGATGGGAGTGAATTGAGCCCCTAGGAAAACTGAATACTGATAGGATTAATGGTGTGCAAGGCCCTTCACAAATTGGGCCCAACATACCTCATCTTCCACCATTTCCTTCAACCTCAAGTCACACTGAAATGCTGATGGATCAACTGAAGCTTTTCATGCGATTTCAGATCTTTGTGTGTTCGTGTGCTGTTCATTTTGCCTGAATCAGCCTTCTTTCTCCTCTTCTCCTGGTTACTATTCAAATGTCATCTCCTCTGAAGCTTTCTTCAGCTTCTCAGGCAGAATGAACTGCTCTTGCCTTTATGTTCCCATGCATTTGGTCCATTCCTCTATCATTGTGCTTTTCACACTATAACTGTTTGGGTGTCCATCTCCCCTATTACACTAGGACTCCTGCAGAGCTGGTACTGTGCCTTACTCTTTGTGTCCCAGCACCTAACACAATATTCATCAAGTAAATAATACATGTGTGCTTAATGTGTAACGACAAGAGTCATGAGCTGGATCCACTGGGACTATATTATAATGTGACTATTACACAGACTATGAAAAATGAAGAACTTTCTTATTAAGCATATATTGGATTCCATGGACTAAAGACACAGAATCATAAATTAGAACAGAAAAAAGAAGAGACAGTAGCTTGTATTGTTATTTTTAATCTATGAATATCTGGTAGTTGATTATAGCAATTGTCTTTAAACTTTTATATTAGCAGCACATTTTTCAAATGAAATCTTTCAAATATGCCTGATTTTTAAAATCAGATAACAGTGGGGACCTGATACCCTACTGTCTGCCTTGCTGTCCCAGTTGTTCTCTGTTCCATGGCCTCAGACTGTGCCCTTAACTCTGACTGGAATTATAAACGCACTTACGTGTAACAATGATGAAAGCAAGGGTGGATCAGTTTAAACTGGCCCTACCACAACTCAAAACATAAATTCTTATGGTACAAAGGATCCTCCTTATAGACAAACAAAATTAGTAACAACTCCATGTTTTTGACATATTGGTTTGTGGGAAAGGACATGATGATGAGATTATCCCAACTAGCCTATTTTCCTTTCATTGTATTTACATCTTTCTTTCTCTATCCCCTCCAGGTTAATTTTCTTATTTTGAACAACACAATGACTACATTTCATTTTTTGTTAACATCAAATCTTACATTTTCAAGGCTATTTATAAGTGCTACTTTTGGTGGCAAAGCTCAGAATTTATCTAATTTTGACTTTAACTATGCCACACTGGACAATAAAAATATTTTTAAAAATTACTAAACTGTGATTTGTAACATTTAAAACATTTAGGAAATGTATTCTTTTTAATTGGTGGTTCTTATAAGGAAAAGCTTTTCTGATGTGTCCCTGGTGTTCAAGAGAGGAGAAAGCTAGGCAGTCGGGTCTGTTGTGCTCTGTTGTCAAAACAGTTTCTCAAAGCATCAGATTTGACCCAATAAGATACTAGAAAAAACAGTCAACATTGACACATGGCAGTGCTTTAATCCACAATTATCCTTGTAACTTGCACCATTCCTTTTATCATCCATTAGCTTTGATTCCCATTATCCCATCTAGAACTGTGTCAACGCTTTTGTCCCTGGGGATTTCTCTCCACTACGAGGATCTGACAGTCAAGCTTGAGTACTAAACAGGATCATTACCTCTTAAATCCACTTATCTGATCTACTGAATAGTAAATTGAAAAGCTCATTAAGAGCAACAATCTGATTTGTTTTCACGTGTGACAGGGTCATTTAAAATCAATGTATGATTACAGCATTTCTTTTAAAAGACTGTCTCACATTTTCCAAGGCATCTTATCATTCAAAGAACATGCAGACAATATGAAAATGTCTCCAAACACTTGGAATTTGATTATATCACTGACAGTAAAACCTTCATCAAATAATTTCGGGGTGAGAAGTAATTTGTCCAGTGAGGACACATCTACAAAATTGTTTATCATAAAGCACAAGTCTATGAAAAATTTTCTACAGAAAAAATTTTTTAGCACAATGTTTAGGGGTTTTTCCAAAACTTTCATTACTTCGCCAAAGATAATTTTTTATGACAGCAAGAAAAAAACCACATATCACAATAGTCATTTTAAGAAAAGATACAGGAGTGAGCACAGGAATGCAAGAAGAGAAAACAAAAAACAAAAATTCCCATATTTAGTTTACAGATTCCTGATCTTTTATTTCATAATTAAGATAATCTGATCATAATGAAAAATTATAAGCAAAAATCTCAGAAATAAGAGACTAAACTCATTGTGTTGTCCTCTTTCAGAGGAGGATGGACAATACCGTGTAGCTGAATAGATGGTGATGCTTTGGTTAGATTTCACATAGCCAGAGATAGACCCACTGCAACCCAGTTTTTGCCTGCCTGTGCCTTCCTTCTTTTTCAATATGCCTTCATCGCTCCATTAGATTACAAGCTCCGTAAGGACAGAGATGATGCTCTGTCTTGTATCTCCCATGCAGAATATTCAATAAATGTTTGTTAAACAAACAAAAACAATGTAATGTTAAAAACTGTACATTTTGGGTCGATTTCATTTCAGTCATAATTTTTAACAAAAGGAAAACAATCCAAAAAAAAAGTGTTTCTAAACAGAACTTTTTTTTTCCCTGTAAAAATAATATACCTATAATCCTATTCTCCAGAGGTTAGCACTGGCAAAATTTTGTTATTTTTAAAAAGTATAGTTTTAATGCTTAAATAATATTTCCAGAAGGGCTCTCCTGGATCCAGTAAACAGAGCTCTCTTCTGCCTTTGAGTCCCCAGAGCATCCAGTGTTGCCACCCTGTTATGTGCACTTCTCATATACTGTAATAGAATATGATCTTGTTGTAGTATTAATTCTCTGTGCAAATATATCCCCCTCCTCCAGTTTAAGTATGTGTCCCCTGAGGGCAGGGAAAATGTCTATCTGTTTACATCTCCAGTAGTGCTTAGAATACGGTCTTGATAAACACAGCAAAGTAGAAAAAGCATAGCCTTTGATCCCAAAGATACCTGGATTTGAATTCTGTATCTGCCACTAACTAGTGGTTACTTAAAATCTCTCATTTGGTTTCCTGATTCAGAGAAACAAAACAAACACAATCTTAAAATTTATATTAATAACTGAAATCTCTACATATATATTCAGTCAGTTAACACATTCTAGTCCCGGTCAGAAATTGTATTGGTTAAAGATGTAAGGCAATTGCTTCAAAATTTCATGATATAAAACAATTCTTTCTACTTCTAAATTGTTGTCTTTTCAGTTGCCACTGAGTCGATTCCAACTCACGGCAACCTCATGTGTTTCAGAGTAGAACTGTGCTCCATAGGATTTTCAAGGCTAGGACCTTTCAGAAGCAGATTGCCAGGTCTTTCTTCCAAAGCGCCTCTGAGTGGGTTTGAACCACCAAACTTTCTATCAGTAGTCTAGTGCTTAACTGTTTGTGCCACCCAGGGACTCCTGTTATTGTCTTAGATGCTAGAAAAATCACCCATTTAAACCGGTCTCCCATTCTTCCAGTTCTGACATACAGAAATTGGTTAGAAATGTAAGAAATTATCATTACAGAATTAAGAAGGCATGTTCCTAAAAAACTGTTTTAATATATTTGTTTTCTTATTCCTATTTATTGCAAAGATTTTTATAAATTTCAGAAAAAAGTATTTGGGCATATACATAATGCTTCAATGACCTAATGAAGTCACTAACTTTTCAATGCAATGAGAGGTACTGCCTGTGCATTTGCAGGTAGCTTAAATGATCTTATATGTGGTTTTTAAAAGGAAAATCAGATAAGAAAATAAATATACAAACAGCAACAAGATTTTGAGTTGTAAGATTAATTTAATAAAGAACAAAAGCATGTGCGATTATTTTTAAAATTGCTTTCTTTTTCCAGTCCTAATCCTTGGTCTTGGGTATCTGCAGCTTTGTCTCTAACATTCTGGTT